TTGGCCCTCAAACCACTTTCTTGGCCAAATGATCTTTCATCTTCCTCCAAATGACAATCTTCATGACTCTTACTTGGTTGTTTAGTGAATTAAACACGCTCTTTCTGGGACAGAGCAGGCTCCGTTATCCAGGAGGATGGAGGGATGGGGGCAGAAGCTCTCCCGACTTATGATGATGAACCCCAGACAGGTGATGGGATCCACTGCCCAGGGTCCCTTGAAAAACTGGGGAAAGCAAGAGCTATCCAGCCCCAACTTCAAATGAACCGGAATTTCCTGCTAAAGGTTTTCTAGAAAGGCAGAGAAGTCAGTGTCAGCAATCTCTTTCTCTCTTCCAGTGCTGAGAATTCAGACTCCTCCCTTTAGCAGACTGTCTCTCTATCTCAAGCCTCAACACAACATGCTGGGGTCGCCTGGCCAGGAGGACAAGCACCCACAAATCCCTATAGCAGGAAACTCACCTCTTGAAGCAGAAAGTCAAATTCTGCACACCGGAATCAGCAAAGTGAAGACTCAGCCCAGCCCAGGGGATTCTTCCCAGACTCAGGACCCTCCTTCCTTTAGCAATGCTATTTATAAATGTCAAAACCTAAGGCAGGTGTCGGGCCCACAAACGACTGGGCAGTCACCGAGGTGTGGTCATGACTACACTGAGCTCCTACTGGCATACCTTGATACATAAGCCCTCATCCTGCTATATGATTCATTTTTTAAATAATTTTCTCAGAAAACCCCACAGGGAAACCTAGGTGTGGACTTTATTCCCAACATGCAGACATGAGCTGTGATGGAAGGGATGTGGACTGACAGGTTCTTACCCAAGAAGTTACAAAATGGCCAGAAGAGCTACAATACAAATCGAAGCCTGAATGACTTTTATTTTATTTTATGTATTTATTTTGGTGGAACCAGGGACTGAACTCAGGCCCTTGCACTTGCCAGGCAAGTGCTTATTCTACTGACCTATCTCCCAAGCCCTTCTGAATGACTTCTAAAAATGTGTTTGAGAAAGGCTGATTGAATCATAGTTCCTTATATCCAAATCAGAAGGGGAGCAAGGAAGGCAGAAGGAAGGGAAAAAGAAAAAAGAGAGAATAGAAGGAAAATGGAAACAAAGCTTTTGTAACTAAGGAGAGGAAGGGGAGGGGAATGGGGGAAAAAAGAAGATCTATCATGTACAGATAAGAATTCCCTATCATGAATGTGATCACTATGTATACCAAAAGTGGACCAATAAAATTAATTTAAAAAGAAAGATCTAGGACCTTGGCAATATCTAGAAAGGGTTGCAGGGAAAGAGAGGCCCAGGGCACAGGACAGAAGACTGGGCCTGCCTCAGGAGGCAGGATTGCATCGATAAGGAGTCCAGGCCTGCTATTTCCAAGCACGTTGCCAGCCTGTGCCTCAGTTTCCTCATCTGAGTTAGCTGTAGGAAAACAGATGCATTCCGAGACTTACAGCATTAAGTGAATTATAGCTGATACACAAGCTTAAGTATTGCGTTATACCTCTTATATAAGAAACTCAAAGTGTAAGTACAGGGCTGGTGAGATAGCTCAGTGGTCTAAAGCACCTACTTAGAACAAGCTTAACAAAGCACAAGGACCTCGGTTCAATCCCCCAGCACCACATGCCAGCCAGCCCCACCCCCTGGTGGGCTGAGCTGGCCACACACACACATAAATAAATAAATAAATAAAATTTTTAAAAATAAAAAAAAAAACAACAAAAAACAAAGTATAAGTACATTAAAGAACAAAATAAAAGATAATAGGATGTGGAAATAGAACTTTTGCAAAAAGGAAGAGGACCAAGAGGTAGGGGTAAAGGAAGGAGATCTTAAAAAGAAGGTGTGGGTACAGGGAGATAGCTTAGCGGCATAAGCACCTGCCAAGCACAAGCACCTGGATTCGATCCCTGGTACCACATGCCACATCGGCCCCAGAACCCCAGGCACCCCAAGCCAGCCACCAAAGCCAGGCGTGATGGTGCATGCCCATAATCCTAACACTCAGGAGGCTGAGGCAGGAGAATCACTGCAAGTTTGAGACCAGCCTGAGCTACAAAATGAGTAAGACCAGCCTGAAGTGCACAGCAAGACCTGGTCTCAAAAAGAAACGAATGAATGAATGAACAAACGAACGAATGAACAACAGAGAGGCCAGGGAGATAGCTCAGTGGCCTAAGTGCTGGTCTGGCGAGCCCAAGGTCAGGCGGAGGAGGAGGGGGAGGGGGAGGAGGAGGAGGAGGAGGAAAGAATGCAAGAGTGCTCCATCAGTCAAGGAATGGCCGTGACTCATCCACATGGCTGACACTGACAAGAATCTACAAACTGTGGTACAGGGTTTCTGGCTAAATCCTGAGGGGATCTGACTGACCTTGTCAGATACAAAAGTTACATTTCTTGTTATATAGGTCTTGCTCTTCCCCACCCCCCAACCAGGGATTGAACTCAGGTCCTTGCGCTTGCCAGGGAAGCGCTTATTCCCCTGAGCCATCTCCACAGCCCCAGTCTTGCTCTATCTTGGTCTTAACCATCCAGCAGAAAAGTATAAAAACATATAAAAAGTAAAGCTGTGAAAGGCTCAAGTCAACAACTTCTAACATTGCCAGTCAAGTGGAAGACCCACTACTATTATGGACTACTGGACTATATTGGATTATTTTGCTGAATTCATGCACCTACAATATTTTAATGACAATGGATACCCGTCTCTGACAAAACGAAACCAAAAAAGGGGATACAGATGAAGGACCATTTTGTAACTGTATATACAAAATAGGGTAGATATACAGCTACTTTCTCTTAATTCAATGAGAAGAAAGATTTGTACTAATAGTGTTTGGACAGGATATCCTGTCTGCATCTTGTACTGTAACCACTACGAAGACAATAATATGCAATGTATTAATTATTGAAACTGTCCTACTAATCAATTTTGAAACTGTCTCATTGTTATTTGTTTCTCAATAAAGCTAATTTAAAAAAGAAAGAAAGAATGCTCAACATCACCAGTCACACTGGAAGTGGCACTGGCACCTGCCTGGTAAGAACAAGGTCCTGAGTTCAATTCCTAGTACCAAAAAAACCAAAACAAAAAACCCTCACACATGAGATACCAGAAAACAGAACACATTGGCGAGAATAAGAAGGAATTAGAATACTCATAGAAAAAATTAGAACATTGTAGAATGCAAAATGGTGCAGCCACCATGGGAGTTTAGCTGTCCCTCAAAGAGTTAGTAATAGAATTGCCATTAGACCCAGTAATTCCACTCTTAGTATATACCACAAGAACTGAAAACAGGTTCTCAGACTTCATACACCAATGTTAATAGCAGCTTCATTCACAATAGCCAAAAGGTGGAAACAACCCAAGTGTTCCTCATTGTTTAGATCAATGTCTAAGCAAATGTGGTTTATCCATATAATGGAATATTACTCAGCTATGAAGAATTTATGTTCTGATCCATACTACAATAGAAATGAACAGTAGGCTGTGAAAGACGGCAGACACAAAAGTGCACATACTGTGTGACTCTGCGGAAAATACCCCGAAAAGGCCACTCAATAGATACCAAAAGCGGCTTAGTGTTCCAAGGGAATGAATGGCTGGGGAGATGGCTCAGTAGAATAAGTGCTTGTCTGGCAAGCACAAGGGCCTGAGTTCAATCCCCGATTCTCCCCCCAACCCCT